AATCAATGTACGACGAAACTCTGGAGGCTGGCTGTTTACCACCAACTCTCACCCAAGCAACTATATCATTAATACTAAAAAAGGATAAGAATCCACTTGACTGCTCATCTTACAGACCTATCAGTCTCCTCTGTTGTGATTACACAATTCTGACTAAAGCCTTGGCTAACCGATTGAATGATGTGATACCAACACTTATACATCAGGATCAGACCGGCTTTATTCCAGGCCAACAGCCCTTTTTCAACCTAAGGCGGCTCTTTAATGTAATGTATTCCACCCATTCCACGCAGCAGCCTGAGGTAATTTTGTCACTCAATGCCGAAAAGGCTTTTGATAGGATAGAGTGGGAGTATTTACACGCAGTCATGAAGAAGTTTGGATTCGGGGAAACATTCAGAAACTGGATCAAAATTTTATATAGTTGTCCTATGTCGGCTGTAAAAACAAATCAACATCAGCATATTTCCCATTATATAAAGGCACGCGTCAGGGCTGCTGTCTGTCACCATTTCTGTTTGACTTAGCCATGGAACCTCTGACCATTGCAATCAGGGAGGATGGGAGGATCAAGGGCATCACTAGAGGAAACACATCCCATAAGACTGCGCTCTATGCAGATGACCTGCTCCTTTTTGTCGCCAACCCAAGCCAATCTATACCTCACCTCCTGCAGCTGCTACAGGAATTTGGGAGTTTCTCTGGCTATAAATTAAATTTATCAAAAAGTCTACTTTTTCCCATAAATGATATAAGCAAAGTACTAAACTATGACACATTTCCTTTTAAAATTGAACATCAGTCCTTTAAGTACCTAGGTGTTCATGTGACCAGTTCATTTAAGTCACTCCAAAAGACCAACTTTGATAATTTATTAGAACAAACCAAAAAAGATATTGAGAGGTGGTCGTGCCTCCCCGTCTCGCTGGCGGGCCGCATTAATGCCCTCAAGATGACAGTATTGCCTAGATTCCTGTATATGTTTGTAGCAATCCCTATCTGGCTCCCAAAACATTTCTTTATTAAATTGGATAAGTATGTCTCAGCTTTTATTTGGAACCACGCTACACCTCGTATAAAGAAGATCTATCTGGAAAGACCTAAATCTGAAGGAGGATTGGGCCTCCCCAACTTCCTACACTATTATTGGGCATCAAATATTTCCAAATTGGCATATTGGGTGACGTCTTTCTCTGACAAAAATGGGCCTGCCTGGGCGATGATGGAGCTTTCGTCAAATGCATTGATATCCCCTATCTCGCTGCTAACAGCTCCATTGGCTATGCAGACACACAGTAAGACGTTTTCTAACCCTGTGGTGTCTAATTCCATTAGAATTTGGGTACAATTTCGTAAGCACTTTAACCTTGATCAGATGAATAGCCTTTCCCCTCTCTCTCTTAACCATCTCTTTGCACCTTCGCAGACGGATCAGAATTTCGCCGGTTGGCATCGGCACGGACTGGTTTTCTTTGACAATTTGTTTGATGAGAGCTCCTTCCTGTCCTTCGAAGCCCTAGTAAAAGACCATAATATCCCAAGATCTCACTTCTTCAGATATCTCCAAGCACGCAGTTTCGCCTCCAAACATTTCCCTACTTACCCCAAGCCGCCAAACAGAGATTCTGTGTATGATTTATCAAATCTGAATCCATGGAACAGGGGTCTAATCTCCAAGGTATATAATATAATACACAATATGGATCCCCCATCGCACACTAAAACGCGTAAAGCATGGGAACAGGATCTGGAAACTGTGATACTAGATGATGTCTGGGCTAAATGTATCTCCAACATACACACCTCCTCTATATGTATAAGGCACGGGCTGATACAATTCAAAGTATTCCATCGGTTACATTACTCCAACGATAGGCTAGCTAAAATATACTCGTCTGTTCTCCCTACCTGTCCCAGGTGTGGCAACCAAGTGTCACTGGGCCATATGTTTTGGTCCTGTCCCTCTTTAGTTGATTTCTGGTCCTCCATTTTCGACTGTCTATCAGTTCTATGCAACACACCCCTCAAACCCAATCCACTCACTGCTTTATTTGGAGTCACACCCTCAGAAACATGTACCATTAATATACAAAAGAGAGCAATAGCATTCTGTAGCCTTATAGCTCGCAGGGTGATTTTATTGAATTGGAAATCTAACAAATGCCCACCCTTCAGGAGATGGATTCAGGAGGTGCTGTCTCTACTTCAGTTAGAAAAGATAAGACACACACTGAACGGCTCTTGTGACACATATACCAGAATGTGGTCTCCCCTTGTATGTAGTATGTAAAGAAGTTAAATCTGTAACCAGTCATGTTATCTTGGTCCTCTTTCTTGTCAACCTGTCTGACTAGCCTATTGATGTTACACTTATGCAGCATTGGATCTTTTTTTTTTTCCTTGTACTCTTGGTCCCAGGGGAGGGTATGTGGGGATGGTACTAGTACGGGATTATGTTCACGTGAACTGATATGTTTGTGTATGTATGTATGTTCACCTTTGTCTTTATAACTGAAAATGCCTTAAATAAAGTTGTTAAAAAAAAAAAAAAGTATCGACAGGGAAGGAGAGGAGACCCTTGAACTAAGGGATGACCAGGTCCGGATGGGCCAAAACGAAAGATGGTAAGTTTCAGACGGATGTATTAAATGGCGAGGTCGATGCGTATGAGTCTGTAAACTATTGTTACGATGATGACTGAAATATAACTATTAGCCGTTGCAAGGCTTCCTGCTTGCCTGGACGAAGAAGTGAATCGGTATTTTGAACAAACGTAAAAAGAAATATGTTGCGTATACGATTTTAAGAATTTGCCATGAAAGATTATTTATCATTAAATATTAACGGGGAAGGCGAGGAGACCCTGGAACGAAGGGACGACCGGGTCCCAATGGGCCAAAACGAGAGATGGTAAGTTCGGACGGATGCATTGAATGGCGATGTCAATGCGTATGAGTGTAAACTAATGTCACGCTGATGACTCTGAAATAAAACTACTAACTGTTGCAGCAACAAGAGGCGAACCAGTATTTGAACGAACATAAAAAGATATATTACGTATAGGTTTCAAGAGTTAGTCATGAAAGATTAATTTATAGTTAAAAAGTTCGGCGTGCGGAATTAAATTGCGATGTCCACGTAATGAGACGGAAATCTGTCATCTGAGAGTGGTGACACAGGGATGATAGGAAGGATTGGCCATGCTGGAGGTAATGCCGAGGCTGGATCGAAATTATTATGCATGGAAGATGGGTGGGAAAGCCCACGATTGAGCTACATTGGACCTGTGGGGAAAAAAGGAGGTGTGTTAAGGAAGAGAAACACGGGCTACGTATGAAGAAACAGGAGTAGAATAAGGGTTTTGTGGCTGGGAGCGTGCCCAGAAATACATGGATTGTATTTGTGGGCACGCTCTGTGCACCTGAGAAGGTTGGTATTGGAATGGGAGGAGCAGAGGCAGCCGAAGAAGAACAGGGAAGTTAGAAATGAGAGGAGGGAAAAGATGCTGGGACGTAGGGATGCCTGTGCTCACGTTGTTTGTGAAGGCGAAATGGTAGGTACTGGGTTTGATACTACCTGGCCTGGTTGAGCGTGAGCTTGTACTCTGTGGTTCGAGGTATGTTTTTGTGTTTCCTGTCTGACGCCGATCATGTGGGAAATGAGTCAAGGAGGGAGTGAACGGATAAGGTGTGCTTAAGTAAGTTTTGAGCGGAAATTAGATGATTGCAGGGCGTGGTCTTTGTTCCCGAACCTAGTTATAAAACATAATTTAGACAGCTGAAGTCGACAGAAGCTGCTCAGATGCTTTGGTGTCACCATCGTCTGCTCAGGATGGCTTTGCTCCATGCTTTCCTTGCTTGTATCTTCTATTATCATAGTAAACAACATGACATTACCAGCTTAGTTTACTGACAGGTCAACAGGGCATGCCATAGGTGATAGTTGAGTGCCCTCTGCAGGATCATAAGGCAGAGTACTTCAAACGGTCGGTTGTGCTTATAGATGCTACATTTTAAATCCAAACCTTTTAAAAATGAACCACAATTGAACAAATTTTTTAATTTAGAATAAAAAGCAGCATCTCTAACTAACATTTGTGTTATTTCTTTTGCTTACTGATAATATGGCAGTATTTGAGTAAGTGTTACAGTAAGAACTAGGCAAATGAGCCACTGTTGAAGTTTTCATTTTTGTATGTGAAACATATCTGCTTAATTAAAAGATGTTTATGTACTAAATAAATAAATAAAGTTTACTTTTTTTTTTAAATAATTGACAAATGTTTTGTGCATTTTTTTTTGTTGTCCCTGCTGTACCGAACCATGACCCCAAAACCGAGGATTACTATATAATGAATTTGTGTGCCATTACACTGTCACTATCCACATGTTTGAGACACAGGAATCATCGAGAGAAGAAGTTGCGCTGCCTCGGTTGACATGCAACAAACATTTCGGGGATCTGAGACTAACCATACATGTTGAATGAATGAATGAATTTGTTTGTGGCAATTCAATTCAATTCAATTCAATTTTATTTGTATAGCGCCAATTCATAACAGAAGTTATCTCAGGACACTTTTCAAATAGAGCAGGTCTAGACCGAACTCTTTAAAACATTAATTACAGAGACCCAACAGTACCACCATGAGCAAGCACTTGGCGACAAGGGCAAGGAAAAACTGCCTGTTAAAAGGCAGAAACCTAGGACAGATCCTCCGGCTCTAGGTGGGTGGTCGTCTGTCTCGACTAATTTGGGTGAGAGAGAGAGAGAGAGAGGCAGAGAGAGAGAGAGCGAGAGACAGATAGACAGGTGCACAGCAACAACAGTATTGGCAATGGCAATCTAGCAGGACCATGGCAGGAGGCTCCACCAGGATCGACAAGAACCTGCGAGACGAGAAAGCACAAGAACTCCGGGGAAGAAGTGAAGTTAGTAACATGCATTAATGGGACATGAATGAGTGCAGAAAGAGAGAGGAAGGGAGGAGCTCAGTGCACCTTGGGAAATCCCCCGATAGTCTAGGCCTATAGCAGCATAACTAAGGGATGGTTCAGGACTCACCTGATCCAGCCCTAACTATAAGCTTTATCAAAGAGGAATGTCTTAAGCCTACTCTTGAATGTGGTGAGGGTGTCTGCCTCCCGAACCACAACTGGAAGCTGGTTCCACAGGAGAGGAGCTTGGTAACTGAAGGCTCTGGCTCCTGTTCTACTTTTAGAGACTATAGGAACCACAAGTAGCCCAGCATTCAGAGAACGTAGTGTTCTAGTGGGGTAATAGGGTACCATGAGCTCTTTAAGATATGAAGGGGCCTGACCATGAAGAGCTTTATAGGTGAGGAGGAGGATTTTAAATTCTATTCTACATTTTACAGGGAGCCAATGCAGAGAAGCTAGTACAGGAGAGATGTGATCTCTTTTTCTAGTTCCTGTCAGTACTTGTGCTGCAGCGTTCTGAATTAATTGGAGCGTTTTAATGGACTTATTGGGGCAACCTGATATTAAAGAGTTGCAGTAATCCAGCCTTGAAGTAACAAATGCATGGATTAGTTTTTCTGCATCTGTCTGTGATAGTATGTGTCTAATTTTTCTAATATTACGTAAATGAAAGAAGGCAGTCCTAGAGGTCTGCTTTATGTGGGAGTTAAATGACAAATCCTGATCAAAGATAACTTCAAGATTCCTGACAGTGGTGCTAGAGGCCAAGTTAATGCCATCTAGAGTAACTATATCTTTAGACAGTGAGTCTTTAAGGTTTTTGGGGCCAAGAACAAGAATTTCGTTTTTTTCTGAGTTTAACATCAGAAAATTGCAGGTCATCCAGGATTTTATGTCCTTAAGACATGTTTGTAATTTAGATAATTGATTAATTTCATCGGGCTTGACTGATAGATATAACTGCGTATCATCTGCATAACAGTGAAAGTTAATGGAGTGATTCCTAATAATGTTGCCTAAAGGGAGCATATATAAAGTAAATAGTATTGGTCCAAGTACAGAACCTTGTGGAACTCCATGACTAACTAAGCAGTCAGAAGGTCATTATTAACTTTAACCTGAGCTGTCTCTGTGCTATGATGAACTCTAAATCCTGACTGAAAATCCTCAAATAAACTATTGTTATGTAGAAAGTCACACAACTCTTTGGCGACTACTTTCTCCAGAATCTTAGAGAGGAAGGGGAGGTTAGAGATCGGTCTATATTTGGCTAAAACCCCTGGGTCAAGAGTGGACTTTTTAAGAAGGGGTTTAATTACAGCTACTTTAAAGGACTGTGGTACATATCCTGATAATAAAGAAAGATTAATCATATCCAGTAAAGAAGTGCCAATTAAGGGAACAACTTCTTTAAGCAGCCTAGTTGGGATCGGGTCTAATAGACAGGTTGATGGCTTCAATGAAGAAATGATTGAAGTTAACTGATGAAGATCGATAGCAGAAAAACAGTCAAAATATATGTCTAAGTTTACATTGACAGAAGTCACTGAACTTGGAGAGCCACTGATAACTGTTGATGGCAGTTGGTGATTAATTTTTTCTCTAATAGTAATAATTTTTTTATAGAAGAAGCTCATGAAGTCATTGCTACTTAAGGTTATGGGGATATGTGGCTCAATAGAGCTGTGACTCTCTGTCAGCCTGGCTACAGTGCTGAAGAGGAACCTAGGGTTATTCTTATTTTCTTCTATTCTTCTGTAGCACTATCGACAAGATTATCAATTTCAGAGGGACTAAAGTCGTTATAGGACTCTGTTAAATTCAGACATGGCATTGAATTAAACACTGAAGGAATCTCCTCCTTAAATTTAGCTACAGCACTGTCAGATAGACATCTGCTGTAGGAAGTTTTGCCTAATGGCTTATAATCTAATAGTATGAATTCAAAAGTTATTAAATAATGGTCAGATAGGAAAGGATTATGTGGGAAGACTATTAAATGTTCAATATCAATGCCATATGATAGAACAAAGAGCAGAGAAGTGTGTAAGACAGCAGCTCTGCTTCCTGGTCCCAACTCTGGACTGTCAGGTTTTAGAGATAAACTTCGCCATATTTCTAGATAAGAGAGCCGCTCCATCCAAAGTGGGATGGATGCCGTCTCTCCTAATCAGACCAGGTTTTCCCCAAAAAGGCTTCCAGTTATCAATGAAGCCCACATCGTTTGCTGGACACCACCTCGACAGCCAGCGGTGGAATGACGACATGCGGCTATACATGTCATCACTAGAGACAGCTCTGGTTAAAGTTAATAATGACCTTCTGACTGCTTCTGACAATGGACTTGTCTCTGTACTTGTATTTTTAGATCTTAGTGCTGCATTTGACACCATTGACCATGATATTCTTTTACAGAGACTTGAGCATCAAATTGGCATTAAAGGAACTGCCCTAACCTGGTTTAAGTCATACTTATCAGATCGTTCTCAGTTTGTACATGTTAACGATGAATCCTCCATAAATACTAAAGTTAGTCATGGAGTTCCACAAGGTTCTGTACTTGGACCAATACTATTTACTTTATATATGCTCCCTTTAGGCAACATTATTAGGAATCACTCCATTAACTTTCACTGTTATGCAGATGATACGCAGTTATATCTATCAATCAAACCCAATGAAATTAATCAATTATCTAAATTACAAACATGTCTTAAGGACATAAAATCCTGGATGACCTGCAATTTTCTGATGTTAAACTCAGAAAAAAACGAAATTCTTGTTCTTGGCCCCAAAAACCTTAGAGACTCATTGTCTAAAGATATAGTTACTCTAGATGGCATTAACTTGGCCTCTAGCACCACTGTCAGGAATCTTGGAGTTATCTTTGATCAGGATTTGTCATTTAACTCCCACATAAAGCAGACCTCTAGGACTGCCTTCTTTCATTTACGTAATATTAGAACAATTAGACACATACTATCACAGACAGATGCAGAAAAACTAATCCATGCATTTGTTACTTCAAGGCTGGATTACTGCAACTCTTTATTATCAGGTTGTCCCAATAAGTCCATTAAAACGCTCCAATTAATTCAGAACGCTGCAGCACGAGTACTGACAGGAACTAGAAAAAGAGATCACATCTCTCCTGTACTAGCTACTCTGCATTGGCTCCCTATAAAATGTAGAATTGAATTTAAAATACTCCTCCTCACCTATAAAGCTCTTCATGGTCAGGCCCCTTCATATCTTAAAGAGCTCATAGTACCCTATTACCCCACTAGAACACTACGTTCTCTGAATGCTGGGCTACTTGTGGTTCCTATAGTCTCTAAAAGTAGAACAGGAGCCAGAGCCTTCAGTTACCAAGCTCCTCTCCTGTGGAACCAGCTTCCAGTTGTGGTTCGGGAGGCAGACACCCTCTCCACATTCAAGAGTAGGCTTAAGACATTCCTCTTTGATAAAGCTTATAGTTAGGGCTGGATCAGGTGAGTCCTGAACCATCCCTTAGTTATGCTGCTATAGGCCTAGACTATCGGGGGATTTCCCATGGCGCACTGAGCTACTCTCTTCCTCTCTCTTTCTGCACTCATTCATGTCCCTTTAATGCATGTTACTAACTCCACTTCTTCCCCGGAGTTCTTGTGCTTTCTCGTCTCGCAGGTTCTCATGGATCCTGGTGGAGCCTCCTGCCATGGTCCTGCTTGACTGCCATTGCCAATACTGTTGTTGCTGTGCACCTGTCTGTCTGTCTGTCGCTCTCTCTCTCTCTCTCTCTCTCTCTCACCCCAACTGGTCGAGACAGACGACCACCCACCTAGAGCCGGAGGATCTGTCCTAGGTTTCTGCCTTTTAACAGGCAGTTTTTCCTTGCCCTTGTCGCCAAGTGCTTGCTCATGGTGGTACTGTTGGGTCTCTGTAATTAATGTTAAAGAGTTCGGTCTAGACCTGCTCTATTTGAAAAGTGTCCTGAGATAACTTCTGTTATGAATTGGCGCTATACAAATAAAATTGAATTGAATTGAATTGAATTGAATTGGGCAGGGGTCCAGAGAAAACTACGGAGTCCGACATTGTCTTGTCATAATTACACACCGACTCCACATTAATCTTAGTGACCTCCAATTGGCGTAAAACGGGTGTCATTACCGCCGACGTGGATAACAATCTTACTGTATTTACGTTTACCTTTAGCCAGCAGTTTTAAATTTGATTCAATGTCGCCCGCTCTGGCCCCAGGGATACATTTAACTATGGCCGCTGGCTTCGCTAACTTCACGTTTCTGACTATGGAGCTGCCAATAATCAGAGTTGGTTCCTCAGCGGGTGTGTCGCTGAGTGGGGAAAATGTATTGGAAACACCGGAGGATCTACAGATCTAACAGAAGCTACCTTTGGTCGGACCGCACCGGCTACTGGGGGCTGGCTAACTATAGCGGCTAAAGATATCTCCGTGGTGCGGTACCGTTCCTCTAACTCACTAAGCCTCGCCTCCAGCGCAGTAAATAAACTACATTTAATACAGGTACCATTATCTTTAAAGGAGGCAGAGGAATAACTGAACATCTGACACACTGAGCAGGACAGAGGAGAGGGAGAGGGAGAAGCCATAGCTAACTGCTAATGCTAATGAAACTAGAGTGTATGAAAAACTTTGAAAGTAGTGAAAAGTCGCTAAAAGAAGGAGTAACTCCGAGTGTTTAGGTAGAACTATTCTACGTTTAAATGTTAAGCTGGAGAATAACCGCTGTAACGAGTAAAACTAATTTAGATTTAGCGTTCACTGACAGAGCTACAGCACCAAACAGTGTACACAGAGCAGGAAGGAAACCGGAAATGAGTCAGTACGCTTACCGTAGCACGTCACACAACCTGATCAGTATATGGCATAAGTTTGATAGGCAGTATATGGGTCTAGTAATATATCACAGTTATGTACTTAAAAATTCACTTAGAAAAGGATTTATCTGTAGAATATGAAAGGACCAGTTTATTTGGGGGGACAGATTATTGCCTTTATTCACAGGACAGACAGGAAAGCGGGTGAGAGAAAGTGGATGATGAGCGGTCAAAGGTCAAACTTGAACCCATGACCGTTGCAGCAAAGACCAAGCCTTGGTACATGGGGCACCACCTCTACAAGCTGAGTTACTAGGGTACGCCAAAAGGGCTAGTTTTTGAGAAAATTTGAACTAAAGTTTCCAGGAAGAGGCATAGATTAATGTTTGCCACAGTTTAAAGTGTAACCCAAAAGGTAAAATGCTTTAATAAGTTCTAACAGGGAAGGCAGGGATTCTTTGGCGATTCATGGCGATGCCATGATGGTCTTTCCCCAAGATTAACTGCACTCACAGCAAGTGATTGGAAGAGAGGTGCAACTAGTAGGTAAACTTAACGAGATACATTTCACAGTAAAAGTTCAGTTCAAGCAAACATAATGAACAAAGTCCCAGTGGTACCTACAGTTGAACAGTACTGTAAACATACAACAAAAGAAGTCAAACAATGCTGTGAGTTCTGGAAGTTCTTTACATATTAGAATATATTTGGTGGGAAGTTTAATTAGATCCTTGGAGGGTGAAGCAATCTAATAAAAACTTTCCACAGACTCTTATAGTTCATTTTTTTAGAGATGAGGTGCATTTCAAAGCCAGGTACCTTTGAATGAATAAGACGTTCCAGTACAGACTGAATGTTAGTATTTTTATGAAAGTGAGAGTTATTTTTAAGTTTCCATTGATGTATGCTGGTTATGTAATCTACTTGGTTTATAACTGAATCTTTATTTTATACAATGGATGATAAACTTAATGTAACATATATAACTCTTGATGGGCATGTGGAAGTGCACAAATACAGATATCTTTATTTTTTGGTTATGCTTACAGTATATATTCTAATAATCTGCTGTAGTTTCACCATTGTGGGCCTTATCTGGAGGCACAACAACCTCCATGAGCCTATGTACATTTTCATTGCAGCTTTGCTTCTGAATTCTGTTGTTTTCAGCACTGCTATGTACCCAAAGTTGTTAATTGACTTTTTATCCGAAAAACAGATGATATCATATTCAGCCTGTATCTTTCAATTTTTCCTAAGTTACTCCTTAAGGGGTTCAGAGTTCTTTCTGTTGGCAGCCATGGCCTATGACAGGTATGTGTCTATATGTAAACCTCTGCAATATCCAACTATCATGACAACAACTACAGTGAGAATTTTCCTGGCTTTAGCTTGGCTTGTGCCTGCTTGTCTGGTTGCAGTTCCAATAATACTGAGTGCTGATATGAAACTCTGTAAGTTCACTTTAAAAGAAATTTTATGTAACAATTCAATTTACAGTCTTCACTGCGTGACTTCGAAAGTACTATATAATTATGGTATTTTTGGTGTGCTAAGTCTTGGGCTTTTGCCTTTGCTCTTCATACTTTTCACATACACCAGGATATTTGTAATATGTTATCGAAGCTGTGGAAATGTCAGAAAAAAAGCTGCACAGACCTGTTTACCCCACCTGTTGGTTTTAATCAGCTTTTCCTGTTTGTGTTCATATGATATCATTATAGGTCGAGTGGGATCTGATTTTCCAAAAATAGTACGTTTAATAATGACTTTACAAGCACTTTTGTATCATCCTCTCTTCAATCCAATTATATATGGACTAAAAATGAAAGAAATCTCTAAACATCTGAAGAGGTTGTTCTGTCAAAGCAATGCAATCTTGTGTATTAAAAGTGATGTTAGAGTAATTGTGTTAATTAAAAGTTATAAGTAACATAAATCCCATTGAGATCATTTTCTCCCAAAGTTTCTCCCATTCTTCTTATATGTTAAGATTTTAGTTTTTTACCATATCTTCTGAAACAGGCCGGGCTGGATTTGAGACTGTTGTTAATGCAGGCATATGAAGCCCATTGACATCATTTAATTACTTTCTCAGTTATCCCTGAATAAGATCTCATTTTTTCTTTCTTACTTGTTGTTCTAACTTTTGTTTTAAATGTATTTACTAAGCTGAAGAGTGAGGTTATTATGTTCACTGTAATACGTGACATATGGGGGCGCCCGGATATCACACCTGATAGAACTGGGGCTACTTGTACCAACTCTGAGACCTTGTTGCAACAGCCAGGGTTTTAATCCGACCTGTTTCCCTTTGCTGCATGTCATCCCCTCTCTCTGTCACTCTTCAGCTGACACTATTGATTAAAGGCTGCAGCACTATAACATCACACAGTCACTGACAAGCACTTTCAATAAAAATTCAATAAAAAAGGTTTATTTTAAAAAAGAAAAGAATAGTCTATTAATGTATACTATTCATTCTAGAGAAAGTTTTGGCATTGCACCAGGTGTCTACCAGCTGTAGCTGTGTCTATCACAGATGCGACCATAGTTAGGCTGTCAGTTTACATGTGCATGTCAGTCAGTCAGTTGTGCTTCTGTGTATAAAGAAGTATTACAAAGGAGCATTGCTGATATTAGGGCTGTCACTTATCCCAAAAATCACCTTTAAAGTAATTTTGAATGACACACAACAGACACTAAAGGATAAGACATACTCTCTTACCACACCAATAGGCCGCATATCGGCACATCCTAGCCTATAGATCTTGCTATCATATCGGTGTTGGCATTTTTACAAGCCTCTGGTGAGCGGCCTGCTGAAGCTAAGTGTTCTCAATAGTAGCAGTCAGACGATGCCGGCTGCCTCACTTCGGTACCAAGCTAACGTTAGCAAGACAGTGTACAGATTTGTGGTTATTGTAGAGTTAGACAGCTGAAGTCGACAGAAGCTGCTCAGATGCTTTGGTGTCACCATCGTCTGCTCAGGATGGCTTCGCTCCATGCTTTCCTTGCTTGTATCTTCCATTTTCGTAGTAAACAACATGACATTACCAGCTTAGTTTACTGACAGGTCAACAGGGCATGCCATAGGTGATAGTTGAGTGCCCTCTGCAGGATCATAAGGCAGAGTACTTCAAACGGTCTGTTGTGCTTATAGATGCTACATTTGAAATCCAAACCTTTTAAAAATGAACCACAATTGAACACATTTTTAATTTAGAATAAAAAGCAGCATCCCTAACTAACATTTGTGTTATTTCTTTTGCTTACTGATAATATGGCAGTATTTGAGTGCATTAAGTGTTACAGTAAGAACTAGGCCAATGAGCCACTGTTGAAGTTTTCATTTTTGGATGTGAAACATATCTGCTTAATTAAAAGATGTTTATGTACTAAATAAATAAAGTTTCCATTTTTTATTTAAATAATTGACAAATGTTTTGTGCATTTTTTTTTGTTGTCCCTGCTGTACCAAACCATGACCCCAAAACCGAGGATTACTATATAATGAATTTGTGTGCCATTACACTGTCACTATCTACATGTTTGAGACACAGGAATCATCTAGAGAAGAAGTTGTGCATGCAACAAACATTTCGGGGATCTGAGACGAACTATAGATGTTGAATGAATGAATGAATTTGTTTGTGGCATAAGGTTGATAGGCAGTATATGGGTCTAGTAATATATCACAGTTATGTACTTAAAAATTCACTTAGAAAAGGATTTATCTGTAGAATATGAAAGGACCAGTTTATTTGGGGGGACAGATTATTGCCTTTATTCACAGGACAGACAGGAAAGCGGGTGAGAGAAAGTGGATGATGAGCGGTCAAAGGTCAAACTTGAACCCATGACCGTTGCAGCAAAGACCAAGCCTTGGTACATGGGGCACCACCTCTACAAGCTGAGTTACTAGGGTACGCCAAAAGGGCTAGTTTTTGAGAAAATTTGAACTAAAGTTTCCAGGAAGAGGCATAGATTAATGTTTGCCACAGTTTAAAGTGTAACCCAAAAGGTAAAATGCTTTAATAAGTTCTAACAGGGAAGGCAGGGATTCTTTGGCGATTCATGGCGATGCCATGATGGTCTTTCCCCAAGATTAACTGCACTCACAGCAAGTGATTGGAAGAGAGGTGCAACTAGTAGGTAAACTTAACGAGATACATTTCACAGTAAAAGTTCAGTTCAAGCAAACATAATGAACAAAGTCCCAGTGGTACCTACAGTTGAACAGTACTGTAAACATACAACAAAAGAAGTCAAACAATGCTGTGAGTTCTGGAAGTTCTTTACATATTAGAATATATTTGGTGGGAAGTTTAATTAGATCCTTGGAGGGTGAAGCAATCTAATAAAAACTTTCCACAGACTCTTATAGTTCATTTTTTTAGAGATGAGGTGCATTTCAAAGCCAGGTACCTTTGAATGAATAAGACGTTCCAGTACAGACTGAATGTTAGTATTTTTATGAAAGTGAGAGTTATTTTTAAGTTTCCATTGATGTATGCTGGTTATGTAATCTACTTGGTTTATAACTGAATCTTTATTTTATACAACATTAATGGATGATAAACTTAATGTAACATATATAACTCTTGATGGGCATGTAGAAGTGGGCAAATACAGATATCTTTATTTTTTGGTTATGCTTACAGTATATATTCTAATAATCTGCTGTAGTTTCACCATTGTGGGCCTTATCTGGAGGCACAACAACCTCCATGAGCCTATGTACATTTTCATTGCAGCTTTGCTTCTGAATTCTGTTGTTTTCAGCACTGCTATGTACCCAAAGTTGTTAATTGACTTTTTATCCGAAAAACAGATGATATCATATTCAGCCTGTCTCTTTCAATTATTCCTAAGTTACTCCTTAAGGGGTTCAGAGTTCTTTCTGTTGGCAGCCATGGCCTATGACAGGTATGTGTCTATATGTAAACCTCTGCAATATCCAACTATCATGACAACAACTACAGTGAGAATTTTCCTGGCTTTAGCTTGGCTTGTGCCTGCTTGTCTGGTTGCAGTTCCAATAATACTGAGTGCTGATATGAAACTCTGTAAGTTCACTTTAAAAGAAATTTTATGTAACAATTCAATTTACAGTCTTCACTGCGTGACTTCGAAAGTAATATATAATTATGGTATTTTTGGTGTGCTAAGTCTTGGGCTTTTGCCTTTGCTCTTCATACTTTTCACATACACCAGGATATTTGTAATATGTTATCGAAGCTGTGGAAATGTCAGAAAAAAAGCTGCACAGACCTGTTTACCCCACCTGTTGGTTTTAATCAGCTTTTCCTGTTTGTGTTCATATGATATCATTATAGGTCGAGTGGGATCTGATTTTCCAAAAATAGTACGTTTAATAATGACTTTACAAGCACTTTTGTATCATCCTCTCTTCAATCCAATTATATATGGACTAAAAATGAAAGAAATCTCTAAACATCTGAAGAGGTTGTTCTGTCAAAGCAATGCAATCTTGTGTATTAAAAGTGATGTTAGAGTAATTGTGTTAATTAAAAGTTATAAGTAACATAAATCCCATTGAGATCATTTTCTCCCAAAGTTTCTCCCATTCTTCTTATATGTTAAGATTTTAGTTTTTTACCATATCTTCTGAAACAGGCCGGGCTGGATTTGAGACTGTTGTTAATGCAGGCATATGAAGCCCATTGACATCATTTAATTACTTTCTCAGTTATCCCTGAATAAGATCTCATTTTTTCTTTCTTACTTGTTGTTCTAACTTTTGTTTTAAATGTATTTACTAAGCTGAAGAGTGAGGTTATTATGTTCACTGTAATACGTGACATATGGGGGCGCCCGGATATCACACCTGATAGAACTGGCGCTTCATGTACCAACTCTGAGACCTTGTTGCAACAGCCAGGGTTTTAATCCGACCTGTTTCCCTTTGCTGCATGTCATCCCCTCTCTCTGTCACTCTTCAGCTGACACTATTGATTAAAGGCTGCAGCACTATAACATCACACAGTCACTGACAAGTACTTTCAATAAAAAATCAATAAACAAAGTGTATTTAAAAAAAGAAAAGAATAGTCTATTAATGTATACTACTCATTCTAGAGAAAGTTTTGGCATTGCACCAGGTGTCTACCAGCTGTAGCTGTGTCTATCACAGATGCGACCATAGTTAGGCTGTCAGTTTACATGTGCATGTCAGTCAGTCAGTTGTGCTTCTGTGTATAAAGAAGTATTACAAAGGAGCATTGCTGATATTAGGGCTGTCACTTATCCCAAAAATCACCTTTAAAGTAATTTTGAATGACACACAACAGACACTAAAGGATAAGACATACTCTCTTACCACACCAATAGGCCGCATATCGGCACATCCTAGCCTATAGATCTTGCTATCATATCGGTGTTGGCATTTTTACAAGCCTCTGGTGAGCGGCCTGCTGAAGCTAAGTGTTCTCAATAGTAGCAGTCAGACGATGCCGGCTGCCTCACTTCGGTACCAAGCTAACGTTAGCAAGACAGTGTACAGATTTGTGGTTATTGTAGAGTTAGACAGCTGAAGTCGACAGAAGCTGCTCAGATGCTTTGGTGTCACCATCGTCTGCTCAGGATGGCTTCGCTCCATGCTTTCCTTGCTTGTATCTTCCATTTTCGTAGTAAACAACATGACATTACCAGCTTAGTTTACTGACAGGTCAACAGGGCATGCCATAGGTGATAGTTGAGTGCCCTCTGCAGGATCATAAGGCAGAGTACTTCAAACGGTCTGTTGTGCTTATAGATGCTACATTTGAAATCCAAACCTTTTAAAAATGAACCACAATTGAACACATTTTTAATTTAGAATAAAAAGCAGCATCCCTAACTAACATTTGTGTTATTTCTTTTGCTTACTGATAATATGGCAGTATTTGAGTGCATTAAGTGTTACAGTAAGAACTAGGCCAATGAGCCACTGTTGAAGTTTTCATTTTTGGATGTGAAACATATCTGCTTAATTAAAAGATGTTTATGTACTAAATAAATAAAGTTTCCATTTTTTATTTAAATAATTGACAAATGTTTTGTGCATTTTTTTTTGTTGTCCCTGCTGTACCAAACCATGACCCCAAAACCGAGGATTACTATATAATGAATTTGTGTGCCATTACACTGTCACTATCTACATGTTTGAGACACAGGAATCATCTAGAGAAGAAGTTGTGCATGCAACAAACATTTCGGGGATCTGAGACGAACTATAGATGTTGAATGAATGAATGAATTTGTTTGTGGCATAAGGTTGATAGGCAGTATATGGGTCTAGTAATATATCACAGTTATGTACTTAAAAATTCACTTAGAAAAGGATTTATCTGTAGAATATGAAAGGACCAGTTTATTTGGGGGGACAGATTATTGCCTTTATTCACAGGACAGACAGGAAAGCGGGTGAGAGAAAGTGGATGATGAGCGGTCAAAGGTCAAACTTGAACCCATGACCGTTGCAGCAAAGACCAAGCCTTGGTACATGGGGCACCACCTCTACAAGCTGAGTTACTAGGGTACGCCAAAAGGGCTAGTTTTTGAGAAAATTTGAACTAAAGTTTCCAGGAAGAGGCATAGATTAATGTTTGCCACAGTTTAAAGTGTAACCCAAAAGGTAAAATGCTTTAATAAGTTCTAACAGGGAAGGCAGGGATTCTTTGGCGATTCATGGCGATGCCATGATGGTCTTTCCCCAAGATTAACTGCACTCACAGCAAGTGATTGGAAGAGAGGTGCAACTAGTAGGTAAACTTAACGAGATACATTTCACAGTAAAAGTTCAGTTCAAGCAAACATAATGAACAAAGTCCCAGTGGTACCTACAGTTGAACAGTACTGTAAACATACAACAAAAGAAGTCAAACAATGCTGTGAGTTCTGGAAGTTCTTTACATATTAGAATATATTTGGTGGGAAGTTTAATTAGATCCTTGGAGGGTGAAGCAATCTAATAAAAACTTTCCACAGACTCTTATAGTTCATTTTTTTTAGAGATGAGGTGCATTTCAAAGCCAGGTACCTTTGAATGAATAAGACGTTCCAGTACAGACTGAATGTTAGTATTTTTATGAAAGTGAGAGTTATTTTTAAGTTTCCATTGATGTATGCTGGTTATGTAATCTACTTGGTTTATAACTGAATCTTTATTTTATACAACATTAATGGATGATAAACTTAATGTAACATATATAACTCTTGATGGGCATGTAGAAGTGGGCAAATACAGATATCTTTATTTTTTGGTTATGCTTACAGTATATATTCTAATAATCTGCTGTAGTTTCACCATTGTGGGCCTTATCTGGAGGCACAACAACCTCCATGAGCCTATGTACATTTTCATTGCAGCTTTGCTTCTGAATTCTGTTGTTTTCAGCACTGCTATGTACCCAAAGTTGTTAATTGACTTTTTATCCGAAAAACAGATGATATCATATTCAGCCTGTATCTTTCAATTTTTCCTAAGTTACTCCTTAAGGGGTTCAGAGTTCTTTCTGTTGGCAGCCATGGCCTATGACAGGTATGTGTCTATATGTAAACCTCTGCAATATCCAACTATCATGACAACAACTACAGTGAGAATTTTCCTGGCTTTAGCTTGGCTTGTGCCTGCTTGTCTGGTTGCAGTTCCAATAATACTGAGTGCTGATATGAAACTCTGTAAGTTCACTTTAAAAGAAATTGTATGTAACAATTCAATTTACAGTCTTCACTGCGTGACTTCGAAAGTACTATATAATTATGGTATTTTTGGTGTGCTAAGTCTTGGGCTTTTGCCTTTGCTCTTCATACTTTTCACATACACCAGGATATTTGTAATATGTTATCGAAGTTGTGGAAATGTCAGAAAAAAAGCTGCACAGACCTGTTTACCCCACCTGTTGGTTTTAATCAGCTTTTCCTGTTTGTGTTCATATGATATCATTATAGTTCGACTGGGATCCGATTTTCCAAAAATAGTACGTTTAATAATGACTTTACAAGCTGTTTTGTATCATCCTCTCTTCAATCCAATTATATATGGACTAAAAATGAAAGAAATCTCTAAACATCTGAAGAGGTTGTTCTGTCAAAGCAATGCAATCTTGTGTATTAAAAGTGATGTTAGAGTAATTGTGTTAATTAAAAGTTATAAGTAACATAAATCCCATTGAGATCATTTTCTCCCAAAGTTTCTCCCATTTTTCTTATATGTTAAGATTTTAGTTTTTTACCATATCTTCTGAAACAGGCCGGGCTGGATTTGAGACTGTTGTTAATGCAGGCATATGAAGCCCATTGACATCATTTAATTACTTTCTCAGTTATCCCTGAATAAGATCTCATTTTTTCTTTCTTACTTGTTGTTCTAACTTTTGTTTTAAATGTATTTACTAAGCTGAAGAGTGAGGTTATTATGTTCACTGTAATACGTGACATATGGGGGCGCCCGGATATCACACCTGATAGAACTGGGGCTACTTGTACCAACTCTGAGACCTTGTTGCAACAGCCAGGGTTTTAATCCGACCTGTTTCCCTTTGCTGCATGTCATCCCCTCTCTCTGTCACTCTTCAGCTGACACTATTGATTAAAGGCTGCAGCACTATAACATCACACAGTCACTGACAAGTACTTTCAATAAAAATTCAATAAAAAAGGTTTATTTTAAAAAAAGAAAAGAATAGTCTATTAATGTATACTATTCATTCTAGAGAAAGTTTTGGCATTGCACCAGGTGTCTACCAGCTGTAGCTGTGTCTATCACAGATGCGACCATAGTTAGGCTGTCAGTTTACATGTGCATGTCAGTCAGTCAGTTGTGCTTCTGTGTATAAAGAAGTATTACAAAGGAGCATTGCTGATATTAGGGCTGTCACTTATCCCAAAAATCACCTTTAAAGTAATTTTGAATGACACACAACAGACACTAAAGGATAAGACATACTCTCTTACCACACCAATAGGCCGCATATCGGCACATCCTAGCCTATAGATCTTGCTATCATATCGGTGTTGGCATTTTTACAAGCCTCTGGTGAGCGGCCTGCTGAAGCTAAGTGTTCTCAATAGTAGCAGTCAGACGATGCCGGCTGCCTCACTTCGGTACCAAGCTAACGTTAGCAAGACAGTGTACAGATTTGTGGTTATTGTAGAGTTAGACAGCTGAAGTCGACAGAAGCTGCTCAGATGCTTTGGTGTCACCATCGTCTGCTCAGGATGGCTTCGCTCCATGCTTTCCTTGCTTGTATCTTCCATTTTCGTAGTAAACAACATGACATTACCAGCTTAGTTTACTGACAGGTCAACAGGGCATGCCATAGGTGATAGTTGAGTGCCCTCTGCAGGATCATAAGGCAGAGTACTTCAAACGGTCTGTTGTGCTTATAGATGCTACATTTGAAATCCAAACCTTTTAAAAATGAACCACAATTGAACACATTTTTAATTTAGAATAAAAAGCAGCATCCCTAACTAACATTTGTGTTATTTCTTTTGCTTACTGATAATATGGCAGTATTTGAGTGCATTAAGTGTTACAGTAAGAACTAGGCCAATGAGCCACTGTTGAAGTTTTCATTTTTGGATGTGAAACATATCTGCTTAATTAAAAGATGTTTATGTACTAAATAAATAAAGTTTCCATTTTTTATTTAAATAATTGACAAATGTTTTGTGCATTTTTTTTTGTTGTCCCTGCTGTACCAAACCATGACCCCAAAACCGAGGATTACTATATAATGAATTTGTGTGCCATTACACTGTCACTATCTACATGTTTGAGACACAGGAATCATCGAGAGAAGAAGTTGCGCTGCCTCGGTTGATATGCAACAAACACTTCGGGGATCTGAGACTAACCATACATGTTGAATGAATGAATGAATTTGTTTGTGGCATAAGGTTGATAGGCAGTATATGGGTCTAGTAATATATCACAGTTATGTACTTAAAAATACACTTAGAAAAGGATTTATCTGTAGAATATGAAAGGACCAGTTTATTTGGGGGGACACATTATTGCCTTTATTCACAGGACAGACAGGAAAGCAGGTGAGAGAAAGTGGATGATGAGCGGTCAAAGGTCGGACTCGCACCTATGACTGTTGCAGCAAAGACCAAGCCTTGGTACAATGGTACATGGGGCACCACCTCTACAAGGTGAGTTACTAGTGTAGGGGTTACACTACTATTTAATTAGAAAGGTAATCAATCATTGAAGATTAATAAAACACTCGTAAATGGGGCACCACCTCCGTTGTTTAGCTACTGGAATAATCCGAAGGAAATTATTCCACAGATCTAATCAAATCAATTTCAAATCAATTTATTAAATTTCAAAATCTATATTCAATCTCATATTTCTGAAGTAGTGATTTCTTTTAGACGATTCATCGATTTCCCCGCATCAAATCAAACCTGCACCGACAAGGACATACCGTTATATATGTTTATTAACTAAACTAATGCAGAGTAAATAGTATGAAATAATAATGCAAACAAATGACAACAAGTAACAGAATATGTGGACAATATATGAATTATTACTATTAGGTGATTCAGGAATATTACGAGAGTACATTTTAGAACTACGAGGCCATAATCGAAAAATTCTCTTAAACTTAAAAGATGGGAATCAAAGCTTACAGACAGACACCAGCTCTTTTTCATGCGTGTGAATCAAGTCAGCCTACTTTGTTTGTAGATAGAACTTGGAAGGATTCCAGGTCCTTGGCTTTCCTCCTAGCTCAACTGCGGCTTTGCGTCACTGATCCAACAGGCCGAAGGAAGTTGCTTCTCGTCCCTGGTTCCAGTGGCAATCTCTCCAAAAGGCCCAGCGCGGCGTGTGCGCTAGTGAGCGTTGGGGGCAAGGTGGCTGGAGAATAATGTCTTTGTCCGGCTGGAAACGTTTGTACATCTTCTTGAGCAGTCAACAACTGCGACGTCCTTCTGGCTGATGATAAATGTCTTAGAGTGGTTGGTCTTCAGCTTTGATTGTAAACTCATTCAGCTTCTTGTTCAAAAATAACTGGAGGATGAAACACTGGCCTGGCGAATTCTCCCTCGTCACTAAGTCCAAGAATTAGATTAAATTCACTGTCTGTGAATCAGGCGACAATACTTGACGATGTCATGTCCAGGAAACTTTGTTAAGTTTATTTATTCTGTTTTGTCACGTGTCTATGTTGTCTTGTAATTTCCTGTTTTATTTTGGTTCTACTTCCTGTCTGTCTCTTGTCATCAGCTTTACTTTCTCCCTTTGTCTCTTTTCCTGCTCCTGGAATTACCTGTCTCCGCCCTGATTGTTTCCACCTGTGCCCTTACCGTGTGTGTGTGTGTATATATAGTCCGTGTCTCCCTTTGTCCTGTGCCAGTTCATCTTGTCCCATGCACCAGAGAACCAGCGCTTTATCGGTCATTTCCAATTGTCAGGTCTTGTTGTTTTGTTACTTTGTTTGCTCGTGATTTTCTGTTTGTTTTCTTAGTCTTAGCATTTCCTCGCAAGAGTGATTTTCTGTTTGTTGTTTTAGTCCTAGTATTACCTCGCAAGACCGTTTATTGTTTTGTTAATAAAACTTTATTTTGATACTTTTGTCTGAGTTGCGCAATTGGGTTCTAGTCCATAGTTCGGTCGTGACAGACGATAAGACTACAAAAATATAAAAGAAAAAATTTTGTGTCTTGAGCTTTCAAAATAAAAGTACTTAGGAAAGTACTTCAGCACAGCAATTTATAACTTGAAGAAAAATTCAACACGTGTCGCAAACGAAGTAAAATAAAGTACAGAAATTAAAAGTAAGAACGAGAATAAATAACGAGTGGATCCAACACTCTTAGAAGGAAGACAAGATCAGAAGAGTAAGAGAGGGAGTGACCGGAGTCTATCCCTTATATCTTTTATTTTGGAGGCGGAACTGGACGAGAGGAGCTGATCGCGCGCGTCACTTCCTCTGGTGATATTTTGATATTCGTAACTTTATCAACTTACTCCTATCGTGTTTTAAAGTTTCGAGATCATAATTCACCGTTCACAGAACCCACCATGACTTAATACATAGTTCACATGTTATAACATAACTGAAATTACTTAATGTAAAGGAAAAGTAGAACTGATTAAAATTAAATCATAATCATTAAACATGCATATAAAGCAGCACTGAGGGATTGTACATATTTCGTATAGTGCTAGCTTAATCCTTGTTATAACAATTATGTGTCAGGCATTTACTATTTGGAATACTACACAATTATGAAACGTTCATTTTGAAAGTCCTCTTACAACTATACCAGAATCTTACCAAAGGGTGGCACTGTGGCTCCATCAAACATTCAGACATTTTACACATGATTATGTAACTTAGTGCAATTTGAAGACAGAAACATTAGACAAACATTACATTTGCGACCTTCTCATACTGGATGGAAATCTGTTCATTTTGAGAATATGAAATTTTACAATAGTACTAAATAAGAACTAAATCTATTTCAGTCCAAATGCTGGACCTGCTATCTATATTGGAATGTCAGGGCTAGTACATGGACCTCTCATAAATCACCTTAAAGGAAAGGGGGAAAGGAGTAACAGGAGACCAGATGTGGATTTCAGAGTAGTTTCTCTCTGGACGTGAACCTGTCAGACTAAAAGAGATGTAAATACATTTCAGGGATATCCAACCCTGATTTACAATCAAAAAGGCACTTAATTATCACACACGATCCACTTTAGGTGTAGCTTGTCATTCTGATAAAACAAATTGACACCTAGAGATCCCATCTGAGAATCTGAAAAGAACCAGGCTCTCTGTGCAGGAGAATGTCGGCGCCACAGTCTCACCTCCCCTCCTGGGTCAAAAAGGTCAAAGGGAAAGAGGAGGCCTTGAAAACTCTCCTGGTGGAACATAATCAAAATAATATGATGATTGTTGAATTAAAGGAGTCATATTATGCCCCTTTTTCAGGTTCATAATTGTATTTTGTGGCTCTCCTACAATAGGTTTAGATGTTTTAATGTTCAAAAAACACATTATTTTTCTCATACTGCCTACAGCTGAGCACCTCTTTTCAGCCTCTGTCTGAATCGCTCGGTTTCAGCTCCTGTCTCTTTAAGACCCCCCTCCCGAAAAGCCCAGTCTGCTCTGATTGGTCGGCATTATGACGCGGCTCACGTGGATGACGCTCCGGCCCCTCACCTTCGTTGCCGGCAGGTAGCTCCTCAGTGCTACTGAGTTTAGCTTCATTTCTACCGTCAATAGTAATTCAATAACTGCTTCTATACCAAAAACTTCACCAGCGGACATGTTAGAGCGGGAGTCTGACCTGAAATCACGGAGAAATGAACAACATCAACAATCAGGATTACAGCTTTCTGTGATGTTTTCCTCAGGTAAATACTGATATATTAACTACATATACATACATATAATATATATATATTAACCTCTATCTATCACATAATGTTAGTGTTTTTACCTTAACTATGAGAACCAACACTGTGTTTTATGTCTTTCCAGGTACAGCAGTGAGCAGTGACCTACAGTCTACACAGCCCAGTGAAGTTAAACATATTATATATTACATAATATTAACAACATTAGTCAAGCAGTTGTTTCTAGTGAAGAAACAGCCAGTAAATGTACCAAAGTAATCAGAGTAATAGTATAATGATTACTGTAACCTCCCATCTGTTATATTCTTTATACACATTAGTTTACTGAGACCATGGAAACAGAAACCTGGAATACTTTATCCTGTACAACATGTCAACATGTGAACAACAACTGAAGGAATCACTCATCTAATGAAGCAACTTGTTCATGTGGTTTAAAAACTGCCAAGTAACCAACTGTTAACTGTACTGTATCCATATTTCATATTCTGATATTTTAACTTAAAAGTATTATTACCAAAGTTAACATTCAGATATTTGTGAAAGCTGCAATTATGTTTGAACCCCATTAAAAATACTGTATACTGAATATTCTATCATTTATATTATATACTGTATCTTTTATTTATCTTCCAATGTAATAAAGTTTGAATGTGAGACAGTAATGTATTGTGTTGCTTACAGTCATTTACTACAGGTTTAAGTTCCACTCTTTCATATTGATAGATGTTACACAAATCAGGTTTTCAACTCTTGTACATCCAGGAAATCTTCATAAAACCTTTGTGAAATAACATGTTATCTATATAAAACCACACTTATTACTGAATTTAAAACTGACCAAAACTCTTCTTAAAAGTAAAACACTTTATTTATATTTCATTCATATTCCAGTTACACATGTTGTAAGTAACAAAGCTAGAACTTTTATGTAAACTGTGCAGATCATGTTCTCCATCAAGGTTTATGGTTTCTAGTATATTGAAGTGTGAGCTGGTAATGGAGCTCTGCAGTCAGTGTTCATCTTCATCAGTCTTCCTTTGCATACCCAGACTGTCCTGATGCTGCAGCTGTCTCTGTCCTCTGATGGGTCCAGGAACACCTGAGCTTCATCAGGTCACCTGTAAAAGAAGGCAGATTCAGTGTTACTTGTAAGGCAGCACATAATATACAGTATAATATAATACAGTATAATATAATACAGTGTAATATAATACAGTATAATATAATACAGTATAATATAATACAGTGTAATATAATACAGTATAATATAATACAGTATAATATAATACAGTATAATATAATATATAGTATAATATAATATAGTACAACAGCTCATTGTGGCTCACAGTAGTCCTCGGTTATAATCTAAAATAATAAAGCAGTGTCTCTGGTGGTTCCTTGTTGCAGCTAACTGTAGTGATGTGTTGTTGAAACAGTCTGAGGTTACCAACACAATGTCTATCTAATGGCAGCAGATACACACACAGGACATTTACTGACTGTAACTGATGTTGGAACAAGTTCCCGGTGCAATAACAGACATTCAGCAGTGAGCCTCAGTGTTTATAATACAATAGGAGATTATATGAGTATAGGATGTTACACTGGACCTACACTTATATCCTCAGTAATAGCAGTACTTCAGTAACGCTAAATAAACAGATCAGAAAACTTTTATTTGTCGCGGTTTGACTCCACATAAAGCCTAGTGAGCAACCCCAGCTGCTGGGTGCTAATCAAAGTTACACAATATTACTAAACTAATAAATCCCTGCAGTTTGACTATTTCTCTCTCACTGGAGCTCTATTGTTAACTCTGGTACATTTACATACAGCAGCACACACACACACACACACACACACACACAGACAGACAGACAGACAGACACACACACACACACACACACACACAGACAGACAGACAGACAGACACACACACACACACACACACACACACACAGAGCGGAGCAGGACAATGGCTCCGGAATAACAAAGCTAGCGCTAGCTCAGCGAGCTAACAGCTGATGAGCAGCTACAGTTTGTTCACTCGGAGGTTTTCTGCTCTTTCTAACAGCGACACAAACATATTACTGACTGAGCACTTTAACTAAATACAGACCAACATAAAGACAATTACCCCCGACACAAAACCCACAACAGTAACAGAGTTACAGAGTTACAGAGTTACAGAGCCCCCCCCAGCACGAAGCTTGGTGATTCTCTGTATAAACTTATAATAAACTTTGTGTGAATCTCTATAAAAATATCAGCAGGGGAGAATATGGAGACGTCTGCACCAGCTGGTTAATACATTAACTTCACCTTATAAGTTTCATCTTCATCTTTTAACATTTAACAAACATTTCACAAACAATAACTACGTTAGCATCACTGAGGCTCCTGTAGCTAACAGCGGTTAGCATGTGCTAGCATTACACGAACAATGAAAAACAAAGTATAAATTCTTAAAAATCCTTCCAGTTATTTCCTCTGCTGTCTCTCCACAGACAGTTGGTACAATTCCCACAGTCTTCCCACATAATCCTTTCCTATCTGACCATTATTAAGTAACTTTTGAATTCATACTATTAGATTATAAGCCATTAGGCAAAACTTCCTACAGCAGATGTCTATCTGACAGTGCTGTAGCTAAATTTAAGGAGGAGATTCCTTCAGTGTTTAATTCAATGCCATGTCTGAATTTAACAGAGTCCTACAATAACTTCAGTCCCTCTGAAATTGATAATCTTGTCGATAGTGCTACAGGCTCGCTACGATCAACATTAGACTCTATCGCTCCTATAAAAAGGAAATTATTAAAACATAGGAGACTAGCACCTTGGTATAACCACCAAACCCGCCAGTTAAAGCAAATAGCTAGGAAATCTGAAAGGAAATGGCGCTCTTCCAAATTATCAGAATATCGCTCAAATTGGCAAGATAATCTTAAAACCTATAGAAAGGCCCTCCGTAATGCCAGAGGAGCCTATTACTCAGCACTAATAGAAGAAAATAAGAATAACCCTAGGTTCCTCTTCAGCACTGTAGCCAGGCTGACAGAGAGTCACAGCTCTATTGAGCCACATATCCCCATAACCTTAAGTAGCAATGACTTCATGAGCTTCTTCTATAATAAAATTATTACTATTAGAGAAAAAATTAATCACCAACTGCCATCAACGGTTATCAGTGGCTCTCCAAGTTCAGGGACTTCTGTCAGTGTAAACTTAGACATATATTTAGACTGTTTTTCTACTATCGATCTTCATCAGTTAACTTCAATCATTTCTTCATCGAAGCCATCAACCTGTCTATTAGACCCGATCCCAACTAGGCTGCTTAAAGAAGTTGTTCCCTTAATTGGCACTTCTTTACTGGATATGATTAATCTTTCTTTATTATCAGGATATGTACCACAGTCCTTTAAAGTAGCTGTAATTAAACCCCTTCTTAAAAAGCCCACTCTTGACCCAGGGGTTTTAGCCAACTATAGACCGATCTCTAACCTCCCCTTCCTCTCTAAGATTCTGGAGAAAGTAGTCGCCAAAGAGTTGTGTGACTTTCTACATAACAATAGTTTATTTGAGGATTTTCAGTCAGGATTTAGAGTTCATCATAGCACAGAGACAGCTCTGGTTAAAGTTAATAATGACCTTCTGACTGCTTCTGACAATGGACTTGTCTCTGTACTTGTATTATTAGATCTTAGTGCTGCATTTGACACCATTGACCATAATATTCTTTTACAGAGACTTGAGCATCAAATTGGCATTAAAGGAACCGCACTAAGCTGGTTTAAGTCATATTTGTCAGATCGCTCGCAGTTTGTACATGTTAACGATGAATCTTCAATAAATACTACAGTTAGTCATGGAGTTCCACAAGGTTCTGTACTTGGACCAATACTATTTACTTTATATATGCTCCCTTTAGGCAACATTATTAGGAATCACTCCATTAACTTTCACTGTTATGCAGATGATACGCAGTTATGTCTATAAATCAAGCCCAATGAAATTAATCAATTATCTAAATTACCAACATGTCTTCAGGACATAAAATCCTGGATGAGCTGCAATTTTCTGATGTTAAACTCAGAAAAAAACGAAATTCTTGTTCTTGGCCCCAAAAACCTTAGAGACTCACTGTCTAAAGATATAGTTACTCTAGATGGCATTAACTTGGCCTCTAGCACCACTGTCAGGAATCTTGGAGTTATCTTTGATCAGGATTTGTCATTTAACTCCCACATAAAGCAGACCTCCAGGACTGCCTTCTTTCATTTACGTAATATTACAAAAATTAGACACATACTATCACAGACAGATGCAGAAAAACTAATCCATGCATTTGTTACTTCAAGGCTGGATTACTGCAACTCTTTATTATCAGGTTGTCCCAATAAGTCCATTAAAACGCTCCAATTAATTCAGAACGCTGCAGCATGAGTACTGACAGGAACTAGAAAAAGAGATCACATCTCTCCTGTACTAGCTACTCTGCATTGGCTCCCTGTAAAATGTACAATAGAATTTAAAATCCTCCTCCTCACCTATAAAGCTCTTCATGGTCAGGCCCCTTCATATCTTAAAGAGCTCATAGTACCCTATTACTCCTCTAGAACACTACGTTCTCTGAATGCTGGGCTACTTGTGGTTCCTATAGTCTCTAAAAGTAGAACAGGAGCCAGAGCCTTCAGTTACCAAGCTCCTCTCCTGTGGAACCAGCTTCCAGTTGTGGTTCTGGAGGCAGACACCCTCACCACATTCAAGAGTAGGCTTAAGACATTCCTCTTTGATAAAGCTTATAGTTAGGGCTGGATCAGGTGAGTCCTGAACCATCCCTTAGTTATGCTGCTACAGGCCTAGACTATCGGGGGATTTCCCATGGTGCACTGAGCTCCTCCCTTCCTCTCTCTTTCTGCACTCATTCATGTCCCATTAATGCATGTTACTAACTTCACTTCTTCCCCGGAGTTCTTGTGCTTTCTCGTCTTGCAGGTTCTTGTCGATCCTGGTGGAGCCTCCTGCCATGGTCCTGCTAGATTGCCATTGCCAATACTGTTGTTGCTGTGCACCTGTCTGTCTGTCTCTCGCTCTCTCTCTCTCTGCCTCTCTCTCTCTCTCTCACCCCAACTGGTCGAGACAGACGACCACCCACCTAGAGCCGGAGGATCTGTCCTAGGTTTCTGCCTTTTAACAGGCAGTTTTTCCTTGCCCTTGTCGCCAAGGTCTTGCTCATGGTGGTACTGTTGGGTCTCTGTAATTAATGTTTTAAAGAGTTCGGTCTATTTGCTCTATTTGAAAAGTGCTCTATTTGAAAAGTGTCCTGAGATAACTTCTGTTATGAATTGGCGCTATACAAATAAAATTGAATTGAATTGAATTGAATTGAATATGTAAACCTCTGCAATATTCAACTATCATGACAGAAACTACAGTGAGTATTTTCCTGGCTTTAGCTTGGCTTGTGCCTGCTTGTCAGACTGCATTGCCATCAATACTGAGTGCTGATATGAAACTCTGTAATTTCACTCTAAAAGGAATTATTTGTAACAATTCAATTTACAGTCTCCACTGTGTGACTTCAAAAGCAATATCTATATTTGGTGTTTTTGCTATAATTGACGTTGGGCTTTTGCCTTTGCTCTTCATACTTTTTACATACACCAGGATACTTGTAATATCTTATCGAAGTTGTAGAAATGTCAGAAAGAAAGCTGCACAGACCTGTTTACCCCACCTGTTGGTTTTAATCAGCTTTTCCTGTTTGTGTTCATATGATATCATTATAGCCCGATTGGGATACGATTTTCCAAAAGCTGCACGTTTAGTTATGACTTTACAAACAGTTTTGTATCATCCTCTCTTCAATCCAATTATATATGGATTAAAAATGAAAGAAATCTCTAAACATCTGAAGAGGTTGTTTTGTCAAACCAAAGTGATCTAATGTATTAAAAGTGATGTTGCAGTAATTCAATTCAATTCAATTCAATTCAATTTTATTTGTATAGCGCCAATTCATAACAGAAGTTATCTCAGGACACTTTTCAAATAGAGCAGGTCTAGACTGAACTCTTTATAACATTAATTACAGAGACCCAACAGTACCACCATGAGCAAGCACTTGGCGACAAGGGCAAGGAAAAACTGCCTGTTAAAAGGCAGAAACCTAGGACAGATCCTCCGGCTCTAGCTGGGTGGTCGTCTGCCTCGACCAGTTGGGGTGAGAGAGACAGAGAGAGAGAGAGAGAGAGAGAGAGAGACAGACAGACAGACAGACAGACAGGTGCACAGTAACAACAGCATTGGCAATGGCAATCTAGCAGGACCATGGCAGGAGGCTCCACCAGGATCGATAAGAACCTGCGAGACGAGAAAGCACAAGAACTCCGGGGAAGAAGTGAAGTTAGTAACATGCATTAATGGGACATAAATGAGTGCAGAAAGAGAGAGGAAGGGAGGAGCTCAGTGCACCATGGGAAATCCTCCGATAGTCATAGTAATAGTAACATTAATGACACAAATGTAATTTATTTTGTAATAATAATGCAGAGATGTGAATGTTGTGAAGTTTGGGAGGTATTTAATGTTAGAATTAGTTTATTTTCTCTAAAAATCCTTCTTTTGTCAGTCATTGGCAGTCTAGTTGTCTTTAGAAGGAGATTGTCTTTTTGAAGGCCTCTCCCAAGGTTTCTCCCAGTTTTCTTATATGTTATGGTTTTAGGGGTTTTTATCTTCGTAGACAGGCCGGGTTGGGTTTGAGACTGTTGTTAACGCGGGCGTTTATGTATGTGAGTTCATCCTGAACAGTTCAGTAGAAGACGTTTGGTTAGGTATGCGAGTTCCTTGTAACTTACAGTACGATTGCTGTCAGGATAGTCTATTAATGGATACTACTCACATGCATGTAACAGAAATTCTAGACTACGAGCTGATAGACAGCAACTGGTGTTGGTTAAACTTAAGTTCATGTAGGGTTTCTGCTATCTGAATGGTAAACTCAAATGCTGCAGACATACAGGATACAGGATTTAAGCATATGGTCTCCTAGTGTACCTTTACATGTTCATGTTAGGCACTGTGCTGCTCTGTACAAATAAGTCAACAATAGTTGAATTGTTTAACAAATAAAATAATCCTTTATGAATCCTACAATGGGGACATTTGCAAGGATGAACGTAACCGTTTGGTTAGGGTTAGGCACAAAAACATTTGCTTCAGGTATGTTAATGAATTGTCTGTCTTTAGGTGGACGGATCCAAATCAAGTATTACCCTTCTTTCTTATTGACAATATGGCAGTATTTGAGCGCCACTGTTACAGAAAGAACTAGGCCAACAAGCTACTGTTGAAGTTTACATTTTTAAAAATAAATGACAGAAATGCTGTTATTTTACATTTCTCTGTCGTCCATGCTGTGCTGAAAAGATACCGAACCGTAATCTCAAAACCAGGTTGTACCAAACCGTGAGTTTGTGTACTGATACACTGCTACTGTCCATATGTTTGAGACACAGGAGTCATGGAGAGAGAGTAGGTTAACAACAAAAATTTTGATGATCTGAATCAACCCATAGACGTGGCACAGGGTTTAAAAATAGGCAGTGTATGAGTTTAATTTACTAGTTTAATATCACAGTTGTGTAGTGACCAGAACTTGCTTAGCATGGGACAAGGCCAGAAGAAGTGCCCTAAAGTGCCTTCTGCTGATTTTACATTTCAGCCAAATTTAACAGACACAAGGATAATAAAGAGTGTAGCTTTCTGTAAGTACTGTGTGGAAACCGGATAATAGTCTGTGAAAAGATTTAGGGGCCTGATTCGTAAGAGTATACGGTTCAATAGGAGCTGGAATTGACTCTAAATGTAATTTTTGCATGGGTTTAATCCCTAATCTGCAGGTGAGGGAAGGACTATGAGGATGGGAGTGTTTATTTGTCCTTTAGCTGTACAAAGGTGGCAAAAGTGTTGCTTAAATAAAGGTCTGATATAGCAGTAATGCCTTTATTTTTCCAAAATACTAAAGTACTGTCAGTAAGGTCCAGTTCAATTGCAAACTGTAGGCGCCGACTTCATCTGGATATGCCAAAACATCTAGAATTTGCAGCCCAATAATAGCGCCGGAAGTTAGACAGGCTGAGGTCTCCCCACCCCCCATGTCAAATCTGTTGCTTCTCTAAACGGCTTTAGGATATCCACCAACCCCCTTCAACAGATTCCACTCCCATGTTGTGAACCAGCCTTCTCCAAAACAGGACAGAGCCTTCACAGTGCAGAAATTCCCTTGCCTCAGTGTCGAGTTCCATCTCGTGTTGACTCATCTTTGAACATTGTGCTTGTGTGCAGAAGTGAGCTGAGTTTTGATAACATTGAAAGAGAAGGACTTATCACTTCAGTACAGTACTTTAATAGATGTGATTAGTTATATTCAACCAATGCTTAATCTATTTATCAATAATAATTATATTCACAAACCTTCTGATTTTGTAATTCCTCTATAGCAACATGCATATAAATGTATCATTTTTTTGTTTTTTACATAAAATCAATTAATGTTCCTTTCTCTTTGCACAATAGTAAATAAGCAAATAGTCCTAAAGTAAAATCTGGATGAAGCTTGTCAGGGGACTCCTGGCGTCATGTGATGTCACTTTTGGTTGTAAGTTTGTGAGGCAATTATACATCAAACAATTATACATCACACAAGTATACATCACACAGTTATACATTACACAGTTATACATCACACAGTTATACATTACACAGTTATACATCACACAATTATACATTACAGTTATACATCACACAGTTATACATCACACAATTATACATTACAATTATACATCACACAGTTATACATTACACAGTTATACATGCTTACTGTGAGCTGGAATTAACAGTTTGTTGTAACTTTGTTGTTTGTTTTAATAACCAAAATAAATGGGAGTGATCACTTCAGATTGTCAATTGATTGTTTTCATTATTGGCTGCAGCAATTAATCATTTTGTTCATACAACAACAACAACAAATGAAGTTCATGAAACAATTCTTTGTACTAAATATTATCACAATTTCTTGGACCAAACATGCAACTCTAATATGGCCAAGTCTTTAAACAGAGTCAACTCTTCTTGTACCTGCATTATGTAAAGGAAATAAAAAATTAAGAAACAACCATTAAAAAGTAATTTCATTTAATTTTTACGTTTTTAGAATATTCAGACAACAATAACCAGCTGGAAAGAAACCTAGTGATAACGCTCACAATGCATGGGGCAATTGTACTGCGTAAAAATGTCCATAATATCGCTGAACGTAGCTTTAATGTAGCTTAGCATATTGACTAGCTAATCATATATTCGTGTGTCATTAATGTAAGAGCTAGTTATTTCGTTCATTCAGGCAGAAGATTCCATAGTTTACCAACCTTCCCCTGACTTCCCCTGAGCAGCAATGTGGGACCAGGACCCAAGCTGAGTGCTTGATTGTCCCAGCTCTATCTCACTTTCATCTTCGTGGTGTAACACTTTCCCTACCTTACCACTGTAGAGTTACTGATCTGTACTTTGTCGTTCCTCATCGCGGAGACAACTATACCAAGAGACACTACAAAGCATGTCTCCCTTTCAGTCACTGATGGCTGATGGATGCGGTACTTTATGACTGATGATAAAACAACAATAATTCAAGTTGAGTCAGAATCAGGGTTTCAATGCGTCCTGGAAAGCCTGTAAAACCAGGATATTTAGAGACAGTCATGGAAACACCTGGAAATTGGATAAATTGACCAAATATCCTGGAAATGTTATATATTGTCCTGGAAAACTTTAATGTAGTTTAGCCCCTCACTCAGATAATCTATGTAACCCTGGGTACTGTAGTTAAATCACTGGAGACGCTGCCTCGGTGAGAACGGTGGAAGTGCCCCATAAACACTGACCACCTACCTGTGATGAACCTGAGTCACTTCATCATGAACCTGCATCAATAAAAT